CCTATTATGAGATATCACAAGTTCATTTTGGATAAATGTTAGAAGTCTATAGGCAGAATTTAAAAAAATAATAGGTCATTTTAAAGGGAATTTAATAAGCTTTAAGATAATGTTACATAAAATTTAATTCAAATTCCATTTTTTTTTAAATTGAAGAAAAAAATAAAATGTGAAAAATCGCAAAGTCAAAAAATTGTACTCCTAATATGAGATGCCTCGAGAAATCGATAGTAAAACGCAAATGATATCAGTAATGCAATTAAAAAACTTTATTTAATGTTTCTAAAATGCAAACAAATATAGCCAGCGTGTGCGAAAAATGAGCATGCGATAGATTGTACCCAGAACTTGTTTTCAGGTAATTGGAATCAAGCGTCGCAGATATAGGCATTCGACATTCATTCTGGTTATCTTTTTTATTAATGTACAATAACATTTATACTTTAACAATTTTCACTATAATGTAGGAGCATAGGTTATTTCATATTAGGAATACACTAGGTATCTCATATTACGATTCTACGTCTTATGGTTTTATGATCATCAATTCTAACTTCTGTAATTAAATAATTCAACATATCCCGTACTTTTCTATTAGTACGATCTTACTCTATTACTATAATACATGAAGAATTTATTGCTAAATATTTATTTATTAAATAATAAACAAAGTTTAAATGCTCTTCTCAATGAAACTCGACACATCCAAATTCTAAAATCTTGTTTTATAATGACTACAGACATGATCTAATAATGAATTTTCTACTAAATAGTTTTCAATCCAAGAACAATAAATTCATGGTGGAATCAATAGATAGCGTTTATTAGAAAGTTTAATTTATTTATTAGAAGAAGTTTAACAGAAACGTCACTATCTCATTATAGGGGAGCTTTCCTCTACACATACACACACACACACACACACACACATGCGCGCGCGCACACGCACGCACACACGCATGCACGCACACACTCATTACTTATTATATGTTACTAAACAATTTAAATAGACAGGATAAAAATATGTTTGATGACTTGGTCATTACGTTTAAAGTTACATATCATTAAAGTTATTATTATTATACACATCTTGTTTCCAAACTAGTGTACGTGGCAAAATATGTAAATAATGAAAATGATGTAACATCATAATTATATGATATTAATTTAAAAATTGCTATTGTTAAGTTTAATATTAATATTTTTATAAGTAACACGTAAATAACACATTATATGTTATGTAACACATGCATATGCATGTAATACGTATATACACGCATCGTTCATTTAACTATTATTTTTATTTTTCTTTATTGAAAAATATAAATTTTTCAGAAATTGTTCAGTCAATTTAGACAAAACTTTATCATAATGAACTTAAGTGATTACTTTATAATTATAACATTTTTGAAATTTCTGTCTTTCTATGTGCAAATGTCTTAAATTAAAAAAAAATGTTTACAGGATAAAGTTTTACATATATTTAATATAAAGTTCCATTTAGAATTAAACATTTAGAATTAAATATCTTCTAGGAAAACAGAATAATTTTGATCAAAATTAATTCCGACTTGTTCCAGAATGACTTTAAAGC